TGTCTAGAAAGCCAAGTTTTCTTTAAAAAATCTGAGCGACTGACATGATGAGTCTTTACGGTGTTGTTGTCGCACAATAACTCGTTTGTGTCTTAAGCTGTTATAGTCATTGGTGATGTTCACCAATGTTCACCAATGTTTAAGCTTCTGTTTGATGTTCACCAATGTTCACCAGTGTTTTTTTACTAAATATCATTTACTTTTCTGTATGTTTAACTTCTAATAAGTTGTATTGGATTGAGGACCAACTCGCCGATGTCTCTACAGCGAGTTGGACCGTCGGCGAGTTGACCGTAATTCCTTTGAATACTAATGAATAAACGTGTCCCATTAGGGACGATGGGATTAGTGTAGAGACATCCATCATGGCCACGTGTAAATGAGCTTTCTCATGTTTATTAAAATTGGGTAGTATATATCAGCCATCTTGTGCTATAACTGAGAGAGAATTTTACAATAAGCTAAAGCACTGGCCATGGGTGACATGAATTAATTTGATCATCGTGATAGAAACCCTCCAGCTATGTCTATAATGCTGGGACCACTTCTGCTTTTCTTTCATCTTTCTTTTCCTTCTGTGGTCTTTTCTCAACTGTTGGAGAAAAAGAAAAATAAACATACATTGAGGAATGGCCAACAATCTTTCCTGCAACAAATTTCACAAAAATGTGTAGTTCCAGAAAATATCCATACCTGCCCTAAGAAGGGTAACTGAAAATTCCAAAGTGAAGGGATGTCTAACTTGAAACACAATTTGATACAAAGCTGCAGTTCAAATCAAGAAAATCTACCACTGGATAGGTATGGATATTTGGGACAACAAAAAAAAGGATTAAAGAACCTGACAGTGTGTAGATGTACAAGATAGCTCATACATACCAGGTTCTTCTGAGGGAATTTCTGGTAATGGTTCTTCTGTTGGTACTTCTGGAAGCTTCTCTGTCACAGACTAACCACCAATGAAAGGAAAAGGGTATTTAAAACAAATCTTTCACACCTTCCCACCTTATTAACCGTTAAAACCCAAAGACTGACAAGCATCTAATGTCTCCCTACAATATCACTCCTGAATTGTACATTAAGATCATGAAAATAAAGGAAATAGTCACCAGGGAAGGAACCTTTTGATTGGCAAACAAATTCTCCTTGTCAGCACCTTAAGAAATGTGTGAAGAACAGTGTGGAGAATATGCATACTGATGTTTGGGTGAAAAAGGTTAAATCAAAAGTGCCCTTGCTTTGAACAAACCTGGTTCCCAGGATCTCTCTTCTCCCCTTTTTATTTGCTATAAAGGAAGGGAAGAAGAGAGATCCTGTGAAGGAGGTTGGCTTTGTACCCCTTGTCTCATAAATGCATCCTCATTCCCACTCTGCTACTCATAATCAAGGACCCTGGTGTGAAAAGAAGGTCAGCAGAAGGTACAAAGTACAAACCTTTGTCATCTCCTCTAATTCTTGTAACACAGCATCTTCATCTTCCTGAGTCAAACTTCCACTTAAAAGTTCGTCAATCTCCTGTGGAAAGAAAATCAAAGTTTTTGTTAACATTTGGTTAAAAACTGCAGAAATCAAAGCTTTTCAATTGATATCACTCACCCTCTGATACTCAATTCCTTCCCTGGTTTCATCCATTATTCTTTCTACATCTTCAATGGACATTATCTGAGACAAAAAGTACAATTCACTTCCTTTGACCAGAAAAAAAATTGACATGACATTCTACTTGCAAATTTTGACATGTTAATATTAGTTAATATTAGTTATTGAATTTAAAACTGCAGATATTGCATTACTAATGTTCTGATTGGTTCACTCAACTCCAGTGATCAGCTCATGTTCCGAGTCACCTCATTTGGAGTCATTGAATCAATGTAAAGGCCAAAGAAAAGATTACTTTTTTAATTTTACATAGTTACCTCATGCATTTTCTTCAGAGCTTCATTTCCTTGCTTCAGTCCATCAGCTACTTGAAGTTGAATTTGAGCAAACTCAACATCTTGTACCTGTTATACAATGATCACTCTTTGTCTCTTACTTGAATCTTTTACTTTATGATGGGTCAAGTACCCAGAGAGAGAAAAGTATTTTTGTAACCCCTTTGACTAGGGGCTGAAGGAGGCAAGACAATGCCACACACCTTTGGAATTTGATGAAGGTGCAACAAACCAGTGGGGATACATCCTAGTAATAGGCTAGTGGCGATGTGTCACTGGATGGGATCACATTTTCTTGACCAGATTCATTGGAGTTACTAGTCTAGGAATGGAGTTGCAAACTTTCAGGATTTTGGGGAAAATAACTTTCTGGTTAGTAAGGTATTAAAACTGGGAAGATTTGCAGTTAAGAAGTTGTTTCCAAGTTACTAAAAGTGACTAAGATAGGGTCTATAATTGGCAAAAAAATATACTATATTGGGGTAGGGGGGTCCTTAAAGGCCAGCCGCACTTAACCAGCAATAATTGCCTCCCCCCCTTTGGTTGCAGGGTTTTTATCTGACTTCCATAAAAGCTTTAGACATAAGTTTAAGTCCATCCCTGTCTCAAGTCATAAATTGAGATCACAACAGATCAAGTCATATTATGCTGGTAAGCTCCTATGACTTTGATGAAGAGCACGAATATAATTTATACATCTGTTAACAAACCATTTTCTCTAAGTTCTCCAGCTGGTTGTCTGTCCTCTCCAATGTCTGTTCCTGGTATCTCTTTTTCTTAAGCAGAAGCTTTGCTTTACTGCACAATAAAAAAGAAAAAAATTAAACTTTCCTTAATTATCAACTAAGATTTTTTCTTATTTTCCTCCTTGACCTGGATCTGGTTTACCACCTATGCATCTTGTTTGATGTTACATGTTGGTAAGAGCTTATGCTCTTTTTATATAAGCCTCATGGCTTCATTTAGGTTCCCTCACTATACACATTGTCATATTTAACTTAACTCATTGTGCCTCCTTGAGACTTTTTAATGTTGCATAGCAAATAAAAAACTTTATTGTTCAAAGAACTGAATATTTAAATATCATAAACTTATGTAAACTGTTCATACTGTAGATAATTTTATTAATACGATGATTGGCCACCACAAAGAGTTTCTGAAGCTGACATTTTGCATGTTAGCCCTTCACCAGAGCAAAAGGACTAACAAAAGGGCTTTTGCTCTGAAAAGGGCTATAAGCTTTATAAACTCTTTACAGTAGCCAACTAACATAATTTATCAACTCAGTTGACAGAACTATATTATCTGGTTGGTCTCAAAACCTCTAGGTCCTTCACTTTAAAACATTGTCAAAACTTACTTTTTCTTTCCTTCCTGCAACAACTTTTTTGCCAATTGTCTTTCTTTTTCAAGATTGAGTTGTATCTATTTTACAGTAAAATTTGTTAGGAATAGAGCTGAAATGATAAAAAAACTCTCAGACGCTGATAAGACAACTACATTTGGGTTGTATTTGAACACTCTGTATAAAGAACTCTTCAGATCAATTTTTGAAGCATGCAGTTTGAAGAGCCTGGCTCAATTATTAAGCATGGTAAACCTGAGCCAAAGTTATCACTGACAGTAGGTAATAAAAATGAAATAAAATGTAACAAAGAGCCCAAGAAAACTTATACAATATGCTACCAGCCTCAAGCGTCATTAACCAGGTTGTGGTTACAAGTGTAAAAAGGTCTGAAGGGTGTTTTAAACCCTTTAACTCCCAGTAGTGATTAACAGGTGACTTCCCCCTATATTTATCCAATCATTATCCTGCTAATGAGAATACTCAAACTTATCAGGTAGAAGCTAGCTTTGTTATCTTGATCTAATACCAAATTCTTGAAAATAAAATACAAGGAAATGTGTGGCAGCTAGAGAGGAGAATTAATGACTAAATTTTGGGAGTTCAAGGGTTAAAGGATGAAGCTAGCTATGGTTCTCAAGACAGATCAGAAACTCAAAGTGAAACAACACAAAATCAATTTGGAGTAATGTTTGAGACACACTGTTGATGAAAATTCCTGTGGTTTCAATAAAATTTGAAGTACGCAGCAAAAAATGCAATATAGGTGGCTGATAGAAAATCAAGTTTTACTCTAAAATTATTAGAACCCCAGAATATGTGATCTAAGAACTGATTTGAGACTAGTGCTTTATCAAAGACATTTTGAACCTGAATAAATTATTCCTTTCTACCTTTTTCTGGTATTGTTTTAACTTGTCTCTCTGCTGCTTCAATGCCTAAATGAAATGACAAGAATAACATTAATAATAATAATTATAATAATAATAATAACAACAAATAACAAACAATTATTGGATTAGGTTTTTGTGATATCCAGAATAAATAAGATCAAGGTGAGGGTTATCAGCAAAAGCTGAAGGCTGAGGTTGATAACCCTTACCAATTTGATCTACACTGATAATGATAATATGATAATTTGATTTGTAATGATGATATGTTCCCTTCTCAATAATGATATAATAGCTTGACAATAATATCTAAAACTATGCATAAGCTACAGTACATATAAAAAGTAATTAACTGAGACAGATCTCAATTTGATTTACACTGTCCAAAAATGGACTCTTTAACATTACTTCTCCATGAAACAGAAGGGCTTGATGGCTTAAAAAGCTTAACGTTAAGCCTTGGCGACTCACCAAAACTGCTTTGTCTTGTTCTGTAATCTTTGGTTTTTCAGGCCCAGGCTCTTTCTTCTTGCTAAATAGAGATCCCATGTTGTTCCAGTAAAGATAATTTCCTATCTCGTTCAGACTTCGATTTAAGCCGTATTAGGTCGATTTAGCCACAAGAGAACTAACACATTTTGAATGTTTTCGTTCCTAAACAGGAAGTGAAGGGTTAGTAACCACCGCCATCTTGGTTTTTCTGGGAAACAGCTGAAGGAACATGAAAACGAGGCACTTTTTCGGTATTCAAAATGGCGCTCGGCGCTGTGTAAGGCTCACGCGTGAATTTGTTGTTTTTTGTGGAGACTTTTTATGGCAGAATGAAATGGTATGAGCGCCAGACCACAGGGCCGTGGTAGGCAAACACGCAGAGATCGTTCTCAGCGAAACAAAGGCCGAGACCACTCTGCAGACTCAGTTAGTAGCACGACAAGTACTCAAAGTGAAAGAGAAAGAGATCGAGAGAGAGAACAACGGAATGGGCGGAACTCCAGACGACGTCCTGAAAAGAAAGATGAGCGAGGTAGACGTAGAAATGAGGAAGGTAGAAGAGATATACATGTACCTGATAGAGAAGGCAGCAAAGCCACTGATAAGGATAAAGGAAAGCCACGCTCAGAGTCTGAGAAACTACCTCCTCGCGGAAGAGGTGAACCCAACCGAGATCCTTCAAGGGAGTTAAATCGAGACAGTTTTGGTTCTAAAGGTTCCACTAATGGTTAGTGCAACGATTTAACATATTTCTACCACCTTTCTTGAATATCTGGCGTATCACAAAGATTTTGTGCAGATAATTTGCATACTCGCGAGAGACAATTACAAATTCTCGTTGTAATCAGTTCCGTTGTCTGAATTTGAAAGCCGCATTTGTAAATGATACACTATTTTTGGAAAATCACTTGCAATCGTAGTTGTTTTGCTGACGCGATATTTTAAAGTACCAGCTGCTTAACTTTTGATTAGTTCTTTAGACCGATAAATTTTTGATATTCATCAAAAGGAAATTGGTGATTGCGCTAATTTCGGCTTCCGGCTTTACTTGTTTATGACACCTCTTTCCTTCCTAATTGGTTTTTATATCGTGACGGTGGTACATAGTCTAAATTCACTTTTAAAATACTCTTTCCTATCGATGTTTATTGGTTTGACAAGCTTATTTGATATTATTCATTTTGTCAATTACTTGTTTCTTTTTTCTTGTTTGTAATTTGTTATTTTAAACAGGTTTGCAATTTTTTTGTTTACCTTTTGTCAATTTGCTGACTTACAAAAATCGTTTGAGTAGATACCAAATAGATTATCCATATGTTCTCAAGGAAATGGGGAAGTTAACTAAAACATTTCTGAAATTGCTCCCCTAGTCACTGTACCAGAGCAAATCTCCTGAAGAAGAAAGCATAGAGACAAACAAACCAACTGCATCAGCATTTTTATGGTCTCTAGAACATAGATGTATGGGAGATGAACCTTCCCCCCACTCCCTTAACTCTGATTAGCTTAAAATTTCTCTAAATCATTGACAATGCAAGAGACCATTGATGCAGGGATTGTAAATTCCTAGCAACAACAAGTAGGAAAGAACAAAAAAACAAGGAACATCATGGTTGTAAAGAGCTGGTGCAAGTATTGGGTAATGTCTCAGACACTTGCACTATGACAAGTTTTAGGACTGTTTTTGTGTTGTGTTGTGTTCTTAGGCATGCCACCTTACTTATTCTCACTGTACCTGTCTTTATACAAGAGTAGAAATGCACATGATTAAACTATCACGGGAACTTGGCCAAATTCTGGGGGGTAACTTGTAGGGGACCACCATCCCATTCAAGGGAGGATCAGGAATTCTTGCAGTAATTTCATACTCTGGGAACTGAGGTAATCTTGAACTGCAAGGGCTGCAAGGCTTGTGGGAAGACTTATTGTGTACTGAAGGTATGGTTGTTTTACTTTCAGAGCAAATTAATATGTTTGGTGATGATTCTCGTTTGTCGCATCTTGTTAAGAGGATTACCAAAGAGTCTGAGCGAGACAGGCGTTTGACTGCAGCTCAGCAGTTTGAGGAATTCCTTAATGATCCCGAGAATTCTCAGGTACCGCAAGATATACATATAATGATTAAAATTGCTAGGGCTTTATTAGTATTGACTGAACACCTTCATTTGAAAACAAAAATTTCAAAGTTCAAATGATTCCTTAAACTTGTCAAAAAAGGGTTTCCCTTTTTTTAGCTTGTGAGATTGTATTGTTTTTGTTGTTGATCACCATGGATTTTTCACCTGAAGGTACCTTTTATTTCCAGGTGGTAGACAAGCATGCAGAGAATCTATTTGTAGTTGTAGAAGATATACTCTTTGAAAGGTAACTAAACTCTTCTTCAGGAGGCAGACATGTCATGATAACCTTGTGGGCCTAATTTTCTTGCCTCATCCAGAAAGAGAACAAAAAAAATGTTGCATTTAGAAATGTTCATGCTTTAAGATGTATGGACTAAAAAGGGATTAACCTGATAAATTTGTTTCTTACATAGCATTGTACTTTCAGTCGGCCAAGATTTGGATTTCTTGGATTTCTTGAATGCATCAAATTTGTTAAAATATTTAGTGAACTGGAGGATAGTTTGTTTAGATTATTTTAACCATTTTTTGCTTCTTCAGTGAAAATGTTTACAATAAGTTGCTTTTGGTAAATATTTTTATTTCAAAATAATTTCAGGGGACAACCTGAGCTGAAGGAAAAAATAGCAACATGTGGTGGTATAATTGGTGGAATTTTAGGCAATGAAGCTGGAAGGTAACTGTTTCTTTGAATTCAAGCCAGACACGTTTAAATCTGGCAAGCATACATACATCTCAGTGCTCTTTATTTTGAGGGCTTAATTGGCAATAGAATGGGAATTGAAAGGAAAAGTCAAAAGCCTTTATAAACCAAATTTCTTTATCAAACAGTTACCTCCCTTGAAAACTCTTGGTGCTATTATGATAAGTGTAGTTAATTTATTAATATTTTTATTTCAAAGATTTTTTCAGTGGATATTTGCCAAGCTTGAGTCATCTGCATCAGATGAAGTAAAGATCTTTCTGCTAACAGCACTCTACAAGGTAGTTTTACATTTTATTGGGTCTCAATTGTTATTATCTGGTTTCTACTATGCATTATGTTTCTATTATGTGGTTATCTATTTTGGACACTTGATTAAATATTTGGTCCATCTACTGACAATGTCAAACCTTCACACTTTTCTCTCTTAGTGATAGAAATGAATCTTTTTTATACAATAATTTTTTTTTTGGTGTTTTACTTCACATTTGCGTTCAGTAAAAGTGAAAAAATCATTGCATGAATAAAAAAGAACTTGGCCTGATAGGAATTGTATTGTGAACTGTGAAATCTCCCACTGATTGTGTCAGTAGTCACCATTTCCACAACATCTATCCTTCCTTTTATTGACTTTTAAAGAGGAGACAGTATAGGTTTTTAAATGGAATTTGGCTTGGATGGTCTTTTGAAACTGGGTTGGTTTGTATTTTACTTTGTTTAATAATTTTGATAACTGAATAAATAATTTAATTGATCTTTGTATCATTTTTTTCCAAAAGGCAATCCAAGTAGACACTAAGAACAAATACTTCAGGGATTTTATGACGGTAAGAAGCAGTAGTCAATTACCCTCTCTTGACTTCTCATTCTGATAAAAAAGGACCTTTGTTTCTAACAACAAAATTCTTTACTATTTGCAGAATGTCATGAGCAGCTTGCAAAATATCTTGGAAAATGTAGACACTTCAGGTATTAGGGAAAACTTATTTAGAATTATTATAATATAATTGGGTATTGGTAAATGATAAGAGAGATTAAATTGTAAATGCTTAAATGCTTTCATTATATGCTTGGATGTATTGTAAACAATGTAAATGTGATGTTGTTGATTGACAGACTTACTACGTGCAGCCCTGAATGTGATGATGCCGATTGCCATAGACTATCCACATGCTTTTGCTGGTCATTTCAGGGTAAGCTCTATTTGATAAGTTTGGAAGGATAATCTGTGAATTGTTATGATTGTAACTACTTATCTACTCCATTCTTATCAAACGGATGTATTCAACCCATTTTTTTCTGGCTCAGGCACAAATATACTGAACATGGACAATTATACCACTCTAATTGAAAAAACAAAACTTCTCTCTCAATACGTTTTTGGTTTTCCATTTGGGTTTTTAGGATACCGTTGACATCCTTGTTGGATGGCATATTGACACTTCTCAGCAGGCATCTCTTACCAGCTACACTTCAGGTTTGGTGGCAGTTGTGTATTTTTCTGGTATTAATGACATTTAGCAAGGATTTAAGTCCAGCATTTTTATCCAAGTTGCTGAGACACCTTAGCTTGGCTTTTTTTATTTTTGTCTCAGCAACTTCACATATAAGTTAGGAAAAGATTTTGAACTTTTACAGACAATAGTCAAACCATAATATGATTATTTATTTTAATTGTGATAGACGCATAACTAAAATCAGTCATGTTTTATTTCTGTGCTGTTGTTTTGTATATTTTCTTGAAATGTTTTTTGTTTTTGCTGAGTCAGAGTTCTTGACTGTACATCACCATGAAACAGTAAATTTTGCAACAGTTCATTATAGATGTAACAAGTAACCTTTTTTTAACTATCCTAAAAAAATTTGTATTTCTTCATCATCCCTCCTCCAACTGTCCATTGCAGTTCATGCTCCTATCTCTAATGACTGACTGATTTTCTATATGGCAGAATGTCTGGTAAAGCTGCATGACTACTGGGCATCAGATATGGCCTTTTCGCTAACACTGCTCAGTCAGTTTTTGGAAGATATGGAAGCTTATGCAGAAGTAAGGAAGAAAAAATGATTAGTTTATGAAAGGTTTCCATCATGCAGTTTTTCATATAGTCATTTTTGATTGAATTTTGTTTTTGAAACAGTAAGTGATGGATGCGACTTATGGTGATAATTCTCCTTTAAAAATGGCACAGCAAGTACTCAGCCATTTTTAGGCTTTGGTTTGGTATCATTGTAGAATTTAGAGCTATTGAACTCTGTTCTGAGATATCACTTATATCAGATTGCTGGTGAAAAAATCCCATAGGTGCAGCACTTGAAGGTTTACCATTGTTCTTTATTCAAAGACAGAGGTTAAAATCTGCAATCTTCTTTACTTGACTTTCGGTTACTGTACTTATCAACAGGAACTAGGCATGTTGTCTAACCAAGTGGTCTCCTCAGATGAAATCCCATCTCCCTATGTGTCTCTCCCAAGGCTGACAGCACTAGTGAGGTGAAGTAGCAATTCCATTCCGATTGTAGGACAAGGAATATGAACTATTTAACATCTAAAATTAACTGGACTAGAGAGCCTTAATTCCTCTCTCCAACTGCCATACATTTTGTTGTAATTGGTTAAGAGAATTTGTTTTTAAAACAAGATAATAGGATCCAAGTGGTGGGTTGGTCTTTTCCAGTCAGAAGCTTGTTGGAAAGCGTATTGATATTTCCATGATATGTTACATTTTGACCTTGAGAGGAAGGTGAATGCTTAATTAATAATACAATAGTTTTGGTGATAGTTAAGATGGTATATCAACTTTTTCATGGATGGCTGCCATTGGTGGAAAAAAAGAAGTTTTACCATGAAGGATCACTAGTAACCAGCTATAACTCTTGCAGTGTCTTTGTTATACTCTACAAGTACTTGTAATATTTCTATATTAAAATCTTTATTTTTCACTCTGGTTTTCAGAGTATTTACAACAGTTGTAAATGGCATAGGACCAAGCTTTTCACCAAATAGAAGTCCATCCATTACACCTCCATATTTAACAGAGGTATCAACTGCTTTCCTTCATTTTCTTTTGCTATATATAGAGGAAGAAGCCTTCTTCTATTAGAAGGTGTCAAAAGGATTAATACTTTAATGATATTAGGTATACATATCAGCATGAACCAATCACACACCATTATGTTTTTGTTTCAGTTGATTCAAAGGATTATTCAGTGCATCAACATGTCTGGGTACTCTTACTATTATGAAAAACTCTTTGTGTCAGGTAGGTTTGTCAATTTTCATGTTAAATCAAACATAATATTATTAAAACCCAAACCGACAAGAAAGCAAACCAGGTAGATATTTACAGTGTACAAGAAGGGTCAAGGAGGTAAACTCAGAACTGCTAAGGGACATCTCTATCTGGTGGTCAGGGAAGGACTTGAACATTGGACCTCCAGATCATAGTTCTGGAGCTCTCATCACTTGATCATACTGCCTCTCACAATTACCTGTAATTCATGTTTTATAATTCAACACCTTTCATATTTCTTTTTTCAGCTAATGAGTGTTTA